TGGAGCATCTGCTATGTGCCAGACATTTGATAAGTGCTGGAATTTTGGCAGTGGATCAAAGAGAACCAAAGTCTTTGCTCTCAAGTATATCAGGGGTTGTTAAAGGTTATGGAGCAAAATGAAGGAGAGGAAAATAAGGATTGCTAAGGGCAGGGATGGGAGTTCTAGGACTGTTATTGGTGGCAACCAAAGTATCTTATGTATCCTATTCAAGTTTAATAATAAAAAAATAATAATAACAGGCATTTATTGAGTGCCAACTAGCTATGGCCTTTTATATGTGTACTCCTGTGTAAATTTCACAACAACCCTGAGAGGTGGGCGTGATCATCCCCATTTTACAGATGAGGAAACAGTGGCTTGGAGAGGGTGAGCACATCGCCGGGAGACATATCGTCGGCAAGCAACAGAGCGGGGATGAACACCTGAGACTGTCTGACTCCTCCACTCTGCTTTCCCCTGAACCTATCCTTTTTTCCAGAGCCCCATTGTCTGTATGGTGAATCAGAATCCAACTGATGATTTCTGACTCCTCAGTGCAGTGTCAAAGTAAAAGGAAAAAGAAAAAGAGAAAATGATTCCCTTTGGAGAAGAAACAGTCAGGAAATGAAGGGACACACTTGAAAGATTATGTATTTAATGTTTATGCCTCTTCCTCTTGTCCCTCAAGTTCAATTTAGCATCCGACCGGCAAAACTGACAATTTATGAGGATCTTGGGCAAGTAACCGCGTGAAACTTCCCTGTGGCTCTGGCCGTGGCAGGCGATTCATCCTACAGACTGTCGGGCTTTTAGGGTAAAATACTTCTCTAATATTTTTTCCCTTCTGCTTATGCCTTTCCCAAAGGGCGACAAATGGCAGTCGTTTGCCAAGAAAGTGCTGTATATGGTCTTGAATGAGACCATCCTTCCGTCTCAAGTCACTCTCTAAGAGAAGGGGGAGTGATCAGTCACCTGCCCCGCCGACCCCAAACCTGAGTCTGAGTCTTTAGAGCTCCAGTGACCACTGCAAAGCTGTCTCTTTCTTAGGCAATCCATCTCCCCCTCCCTTTTCTTCCCTGGCCACAGAAGAGGGGGGAAAAAGTACCACTTTTTTTTTCCCTGTAAATTATCCAGAGTTAGGTCTTCTTGGGGGGTGGGGGAAATCCTTGGAATAGGGGTCAGGATAGTGTGGGAATCTTTCTTGGAAAAGTGTAACATTGACTAAGGTGGCCTTATTCCTAGGTATGACAGCTTTGGTTCACACCCTGCTGTAGTTCACAGTTGGAGAGCCATTTTGGATTCTCCACAGAAATCAGTGACTACAAGAAAGTGCAAATAACTAACTAAACAAGCTCGGGCTGTGCCTGGTGGCCCCAAACATCTGATTCTGGAGAGCAGCCCCAGGATCCTGTGAGGGCACAGCCTACATGGAACCAGATCGGGAGCACCTTGGGACTCAGTGCCTCATGACTGTCTTCTGTCATCTGAAGCCCACAGCGGAAATTTCCCAGCAGGGATCATTGATCACACCAGCCACAGACTTCACAGACAACGGCGCTGAGGCCACCTGCCAGACAGTTGGACAAATATGGTTCTTGGTTATTATCCTTGGTTCCAGCCCACTGGGGGGAGGGAGAAGCTGACTCTCGCTTTTCTGTGGTCACAGGGGGGTTAACTTCGAACCTCACTTGACCCGGAAGCTCAGTCCTTGCTTCACCCTGTCCTTCCCCAAACAGCAGCAGATGCTGACCTGCTGGGAAATCTGTGATTGTGCTGAGGGGCACGAAAGGAAAAGGGAAACCGGTGTACGCCCCATGTCCTCTCACACCCCATCTGTGAATTCCAAGTTTCGCTGAATGTTCACAATCACCCTGCGAGGAATGCACTTTCCTTCCCATCCCCACTTTAGAACTGAAGCGCAGTGAGGGCAAGTGAAGTGCCTCCCGACATACAGCTAGGAAGAGACTCATACAGCATGTCACTGTACTTCTTCCTGTTGGTTCTCACAGTGTTCCACTGTTCCATCTTAACACATGGGGACATGGAGGCTATATAATTTACTCAAGGATTCACAGTGCAAAAGTGGCAGAGGTGGGTTTTGAACTTGGGTCTTGTGCTGCTAAACCCCAGGCTACTTCCACTATACAATCTAAATCCTTCCTGCTCTAAGTGTGGTCTGGGAACCAGAGGCGTTAGCATGATTTGATGCTTCTTAAAAATGTGGCCTCCCAGGACCCACCTAGATCCTCTGAGTTAGGGTTTGCATTTTAACACAGTCCCCAGGAGATTATAGGTACACTGAAGCTTAAGAAACGATGGTCTACACCAGGGGTCCTCAAACTTTTTAAACAGGGGGCCAGTTCACTGTCCCTCAGACTGTTGGAGGGCCGTTGGAGAGTGCGGCACACATTCCACACATGCGCACTGTGGGCCCCGGACGAGTCGGCTGCTAAGCAAGACAGGCAGCTGCGGCAAAAACACCCAGCGGGCCGGATAAATATCCTCGGCGGGCCGCATGTGGCCCGTGGGCCGTAGTTTGAGGACCCCTGTTTAAGACTGTGTAGACTCTACACAGTCTACTTGACTGTGGAAAGATACTCAGTGAGGACAGAGACACTGTGGCAGTGAGTCTCCAAAGATGGTCCAAGGATACATCCCCTCCACCATGTGCATGCCACTCCTCCTTACAGCAAGGGCTGGAACTTGTTTACCCTCTCTTGAATCTGAGCTGGTCTTGTGACTGGCGCTACCCACCAGAATGCACAAGGTAAACATTGCCTGAGAGCTCCTTAGAAACGAAAATTTTCCGGCCCTTTCTAGACCTGCTGAAGCAGAATCTTTGGGGGTGGGGACAGGAATCTCTGTCTTACCAAGCCCTCCCTTCCAAGTAATTCTTTTGCACATAAACTTCAAGAAGTACTAAACTAAAAAGAGTTAAAGTGACTATTTTACACTTGAGGGAAAGGTTAAGGGAACAGCAGAGGACAAGGAAACAGAACAGTGTCACTGGGCCCCAAAGAGAACTGGAGCCCTGGAATAGTGGCTCTCAGGTGGCCAAGGGACATGGCCCTTCCAGAGCTGGGGCAAAGCAGGAAGCATTGGCAGGGAGAGTAATCAATACCCTCACCTCTCCCTCCTCTGTCCTCTGATTATTTTTTTTTTAACTGGAATTCCTATTGGTGCAAACCAACCAAACCCAGAACACCAAGAAGTCTCCTCTGTACAGAGGAGGGAAGAAGGGGTGGAGGTTGTATCTGGAAGAGCAAATGAAATGTAACCAGCACACATGGTTTTGATGTGTTATCTATGTTTTTAAATACACATTTGCTACATATAAAAGATGCATAACTATTAATATTTTTAAAAAGATGTTAGAATACTGTTGAACACCACCTTATTTACAACATTTTGGGGACCTGTGCTATGAGAATGAAATCTCATCATACAATTTTAAGAAAGAAAATAACCATTATTGATGCTTCCTTCCAGTTTATTTCCCCTTCCCCCTTCTCTCTCCTCTTCTTTACCTTCCCTTTCCATTCTCCCTTCTCCCTCACTCTTCCTCTCTTTCTTCCCTCTTCCGTCTCCCTATCCATCTCTATATTATGTAACAATGTATAGTAAATAAAGTGTTGTATCCTGTCTTTTTCATTTAAAGTGTGTTTTGAGCATTTCCTTGTGCCATTAAGGATTCTCTGAAAACATGTTTTTTAGTGGCTGTGCAGATGGTTTAAAGATGATTGTTATTGTAAGCTGTCTCAAATCCTTTTGGGAAGTAGGTGGTGTACAATGCATAAATTATAAATGGAAAGCAAGTTGTTCTTAATTTTACCCTCAACCTCTAAAGTGCAGTAGCTCTTTGTGTATTTGTTTCTCCAAAGCCACAGAGACAGAAGCGACAGGAACAATGACGGAAGAGGAGCCACAGGTGGACAGGCGTTGGCCCGGGAAAGGGGTTCACACCCAGGCTCTGTCCAGTCTCTGACCATGTGACCTTGGAGAAATCTCACTGGTCAAATGAGGGTGCTTAGACCAGCTCAGGGTCAAGGTCCCCTTTAGTTCCAACTAGGATTTCTGATAGAAATCTAATGGTTTTATAGACAAAAAACAGCCTCACTGCAGCGGATTTCCACCTCCTCCCTTACTGTCTGGTCCCAGACACCCTGTTGCACCACTGGACAGCAGCAATCTCCTCCTCTCAAGGGTCTCCCTCTTCTACCCTTACCCTCTACAGTCTGTCCCCACAGTGACGCTCTTTATATTAGCCCTCGCCATGGCTAACAAGGCCCCGCATGGTCAGGTGCCCTGCTGCTTTCGGATCTCATCTTCTTCCAGTTTCGCCTGCTCGCTTCACTGCAGCTCAAATGGCCGCGCTGCTGTTTCTTGAACCTGCCAAGCACACTCCCACCCCAGGGCCTCCGTACCTGCCCTTCCCTCTGCTCAGAATGCTGTTCCCTCAGACTTCCTCATGGCCCATACATCCACTTTCTTCAGGTTTCTGCTTAAATGGATCTTCTCAGAGAGGCCTTCTCTAAGCCCCTTCTATAAAACAGCCCTGACCTGCAGCACTCCCAGTCCCTTTCTGTGGGTTTATTTTCCTTCATGACACTGATCCCAGACATGGTATCCGTAGGGGCTTATTTACTTATTATTTCTCTTTCTTCACTGGGACATGAATTCCACGAGAGTAGGAATTTGGTCTGGTTTATTCTTGGCTACATCCCGGCATTTTGAAATGAGCCTAGTAAGTGCTCAATTAAGTGCACTTAGTAGGAAATCAATAAATAATGAATGAATGAGTGAATGAGTAACAATAAAAGCCTTCTGGGGAAAGTCAGTCCTTAGGAGGGAAAGATACACAGATGCCCCAATCTGATGTTTGACACAGGAGGACTGGTCACAGCTTGTGTTTAACGGCCTGGACATTTCATACAAATGCTATGGTGTCACTCTCTGTCATCCGTCCTTCCATTCCCCCGAGGCCACCCTCTGACGGCTCCTCCTGGTGTCTCCTGCAGCCCTCTCTGGACGTGTTCTGATCCTCTGCTTCTCCTCCCTGCCATGGACACCCTTCCCCCTGCCCTGCTCGGCCGTCTGCAAGTCCCTCTGCACCCCACAGACAGTGGCAATCACCACCTTTCCTGTTTTCACGGCGTTTAATGGCTTGTAACGCACTCGACTGCACACAATCTCGGTGACTTCCGCAGGAGTTCCTGGAGGTAGGTGCTAATGTCTTCCTTTTAGTCATCCACTCAAGCCACACGCATTATCGAGCACCTACTCCAGTGGGGACTTGGGGACAGAGATGAAATAGGCAGAGACAGTTCCTTCTCTCTTCAAGCTCGAAATCCAGCAATGAAGACAGACATGAAGCAAATAATAGGACAAATATTTTCTAGCATCATAATTATCCTAAGTGCTGTGGAGGGGCTACGGGTACCGCTGACCCAGTCTCTGTGCCTCTTACGTAGTTAATCTCATTTCATCCTCACTTCAGCCCTCTGATGGGAACCTAGTATGAGTCCTGCTTTACAGACTAGGAGAGACAGGGTCTCAGACAACACTTTTCCCAAGGTCAAATGAGCCAGTGACTGCCGGGGCCTAATTTGAACCCAGGTGTGCCAACTCCAGTTGTACCCACCAGGCTACGTGGCCCCCCATGTCTGGAGCCGGAGGCAGACCAGGTAGGATCTTGAAAGAACGGCTGTTTCAGGTAAGACACATGGAGTTGGCTGAGAAAGAGGATGGGAAATTATCATAGGCAGAAGGAAGAGAATGTATAGAGAGTGAGGCGGGATGAGCTTGGTCCTTTGAGAAGATGCAAGATCGTCAGGGATGGAACCAACAGGACTAGGATGGAGGGTGGAACAGAGGGTGTGTAGGGTGAGCAGGGGCTGGAATGTGCAGGCCTCCATGGAGTTTAGGAATTTGGGCTTTTATATATACATAAACACATAGCTTACATGTTTATATTATTGATAGACATATGATTTACGTACATGTGAGGGTGAGAAACCTGTGCTCCAGGAAAATGGGGTGATTTGCCCTAGGTCCCATAGCTTGTATGCAAACAAAGTTGGGATCAGAGTCCAAGCTTCTGCCTCCAAAGCTAGTGCTCCTTTTCCTCTACTGGAGCTGCCTTCAGATAGGTGCCCCCCCACCCCCACTTCCCCGCCAAGCTCTTGCCACCATGTCAAGAAGATTAGAAAATCCTTTCCAGGATTAATGGGAAAAGAGTGGCACCCTGCTCTCTCACCAGGCACCGAAGTACACATGCTGTCCCTGTGTTATAAGCATTAGTTTATTAATTGAGACAAATCTGACCCCAGAGCACCTGGCAGTCCAATTGGCATTATTGCACCCATTATTCAACACCCCATTCAGTGCCTGACTCCTCCCAGGCCCCTGCCTGAAAGCGAGGTGGGGGAGACCGGGCTCCGGCCACAGGGCCTGTGCCCAGCACCGCTACGATCTGTGTTAACGGGGTCCACGTTTAACGTTCTGCTGTCTTCTGTCCACACTCTGGGCATCTCAGGCGTGTCTGTCACCCCTTCTACCTGACTGGGACTGCTAGCACATCTCTCATCCTCAACTCCGTGGAGTCTCCATCCAGAGGCTGCGCTGTGTGGAGGAGGAAGCTCTGCTCTAATGAGAACGTAGCTCAGACCTGACTGCCAGACAGAGCAATGAGAGAGGAAGTGGCGCTGGCGTCTTGAGAGCCTCCTGTGAATTAGGAGGGAGAGAAGCAGCTCCGAGCCCAATCAGTCTGAGTGTTAGATAACAGGATTTGATTTTCACATATTCCTCCAAGCACCTGGACATTGGGTAGGGGATTGCATGATTTTACTTTATAGCATATACATATTATATTTTTCTTTATGTAATTTTTATAATATACATTTTTCTGGGGTGATTAAGTTATTAAAATAAGGAGTAATGACTGTGGATGGGAGGTAGTCAGTGGACTAGGAAGAGGATTTAGAATGTGAAGACCAGTCCTAGAATCCTGGCTCTGCCACCTCCTCTCTGTAGTATAGCGCTTTACGTTCTCTGGGCCTCTGTTTTCCCATCTGCAAAGTGGGAATCATGATCTGCTGCTGTTTGAGTGGGTATGTGTATTAGATGCAGGGCTCTGAGCGTCTGTATTCCAACCTCTACTTTCCTATATGGTTCTGCACAAAGGGTACACACAATGACCAAGAGCTCAAGGTCAACCGGGAGGGAGGGAGGTAGAGAGGAATGGGTCACACGGTCCTTCCTGGCTGGGAATCGTGGGCTGGTCTGACCCAGGGGTGCAGGCAGAACTGAGACAGGCTTGGGGGCTGGCTCCGACTTTTGCCTGGTGGCTGGCCACATGGAAGCACAGGGACTAAAGGAAATGGAGAAGGAAGAGGCAATGTCTGTGCTTTACTCTACCGAGGTGAGCATATAACCCGGCCTCTGCTGAGCATCGAGACCCCTCACCCACCTTCCAGAGGGGGAGGAGGGCGCACGTGGAAGGCAGGCTCTACCACCCAAAGCGGAAGAAAGCAAGTTCGCCTTCTGGTGTAGCGACCTCCAGCAGAGCTTGGCCCCGTGAATGTCAGATGAGCAATTTCTCTGCCCCTGGGTTTGGGGGACACAGGGACGATGGGGATACAGAAGGGCAGAAATTCTCTCCTTCCTTGAAAAAGAAGCCAGAAATGTGTGCAGAGAGGAAGAAACACGCCCTCCTTCAAAACATCACCTAGGTGTGGTCCTGCCATCTGCCTCTGGGTGAAATGGCTCAGCCACTGTTCAGCTGGAGTGTGGCCGTCCTCCTGGGGGGAGGGGCAGAAGCGCCGCAAGACAGTTCCGCTCCTGCTTTCAGGAGAGTTTCCTCCTAACACATCCTTGGGTGCTTTCCAGGAACCAGTAGGATGGATGGTTCAGCTCTTGCCCACCTGAATTCTCTGAAGTGGATCGTGACAACGCATTGCTCAAGGGAAGGCTCTCTGCACTACAGAGGCTGAAAATTCATGCTCTGTTCCGACGCCCGTCTGGCACGGCGCCCGTGACGGTCTCCAGCACAGCTTCCCCGTCCCCAGACCCTGTCCCGAACGGACACCACGTGACCCTTCTCTCGTTGGCTCCCCTTCTTATAAATTAGACTTCAAAGAAGATAAAGCCTGAAATTCTCCTCTTCCCAATTCTACTCTGCTTTGTCTGGGCCTGAGTAGTTTGCATTCGACTGCGTGGATAATGATAATAAAAATCACAGCGTTAGTAGTCATAATTGCTGTTATAGTTGATCACTTACTATAAGCCAAGGACTCTTGTAAGAACTGTGCGATATTAACATATTCAATCGTCGCAACTTTCTTAGGAGGGCTGGTGTTCTTGATACCTCACTACCTTCATCTCTGTTTTATAGATGAGGACGTGTAGGCACAGAGGCGCAGAAGGGACCTGCCTGAGGCTCCAGGGCGGCTGTCCCTGCGTCCACACCGCTAGCCACTACGCTACGTGTGCCTGTGTTGGTGGGGCCCATTAGCAGACTTAGTGTTATCTGGGATAGTGGAGACACAGGGAACAGGAGAGAAAAAGAAAACAATCTCTATAGTTTATGTCTCACCAGAATGCTGGTCACTTCGTGTCAGTTGTGTGGAATTTATGCACTACGAACTTAAACTCCTTTGGGAAGAATCTGCCAAGTCAGGGCTGTGACCCTCTGCTGCCCGCACTCTGGGCACCTGCCCTTGTGTAGTCGGCTGCCTCCTCTCTCATAAAGAGGGCTTTGCTCTCAGTGCTGCATGCTGGTCTTCCTGCTGCATGGGGCTGTTTTCTAAGGTGACATCTAGTCTCCAGGTCCTGCTTGAAGCGTTCTTCTTTACTTGAGAGTCCTTCCTACGTACGGAAAGCCTCCAATATCCATTTCCCCTCTGCCTCAAGGGGTTCTGGTCCCTCAGAGCTGAAGTGAGTATGGATTTTGTTGGGGACGAGTCTTGCTGCGGGTGCCTTATAGTGGAGGACTCTCCTAGCAATGCTCACGACAAGCGTCTCGTACTCTCCAAGGGCCCCGTTTCCTGCTCTCGAATCTATTTTTCCTTCCTCAGCTATATCCAACGGATTCAAGGAAAGGCAATTGCTGAATGGCAAATTTTAGCACATTGGCTTTTAGGGAATTGGCTTTTGTTGTGCTGGTTTGCCTGAGTATTAGCCTGATTCCAAATCTCATAGCCCATAACTCTTAGTCTCTTCAGAAGGGAAGGGAAGGGGAGGGGAGGGGAGGGGAGGGAGGGGAGGGGGAGGGAGGAGGGGGAGAGAGGAAGGACCATCGGTCCTAAAGTAAAGCTAACTCATCTTTGACTGACAAACTAATGCCTGCCTCCAATTTTAAAAGAAAAGGACATAGTACGGACATATCTAATCCCCTCAAACATCTAAAATCGCAGCTCTCCTCCTCGGGAAAACCTTTCTCCTAATTCATTCTTTGCCACTGTCTCCCTCGCTTTGCCGCTGTCCACATTTGACTGGAAGACCAAAATCTGCTTCTAAAAGTGACCCCTGAGTTTCTGTGCAAATTTGGCGCCTGACACATGTCTGTAGATTTTCTGGTTTTTCCTACACCGCGGTCCAAGGAACTCAAGTGTCTATAAACTTCTTTGCAAAGGTCTCGACGCTGTGAGGGCTCAACTGCAATGGTGACGGTGATGACGTCAAACTGTACTGAGCGGCTGTACTTAGTGCACACCGAGCACTGTCCTCCATGCTGTGCGTGCATTAACTCGCTGGATTTCACAAGCGCCTCGGGAGGACCTCTGGGGTTAGTTGTCCTAACCACTGGGCTCTCCTGCCCTCCTCAGCCCCTGCAGAGCCTGCGGTCCAGCCTGGGTCAGCAGTCTGGGTGCCAATCAGGGCTGCGTAGTGCGGGACGTGGGAGGCCGTGGGGAAGGGGATCGTCTAAATCCTCTTCTCAGAATTGCCGTGTCCAGACAAGTTCTTGAGACATCACTAAACGGATTTGTTCCTCCCCAGACTCTCCTTGCTCAGCCTCCATCAATAACTTCGCAGCCCAAACAGCCGAGCCGTGAAGGGGGCGGCTTGTTGCTGCTGCGGCGCCATCTGTTTCCCTCCGCCAGGTTTCGTGCCTCTGCCTGGGGCGCTGCTGCTCTGCCTGTCCCCGCGCCGGCCCTCCGGGCAGCGCTGACAGTGGAGCCCTGGGACCCTCGTCCGCTGGGCGTGCGGGACACTGGCAGCC